AAGGCTGCAAGGCGAGGCCGGCGAGGCATAGGTGGCGGGCACGGCCTGTGGCACGGCGGCAGGACCGCTTTGATGCGAGAAGAAGAGGCGGGCCGGCCTGGCCGTGTTCACACCCCGCCCGCCCCGCCCCGCCCCCACGACACCCGCCGCGCCCCGCAACCCGCTCATTACGTCATTTTGGGCCACAACAACGCCCCGGGTGCATGTGTGCGTCCACCGCGCACACCTCGCACCAGCCGCCAGGCGAAGGCAAGCCACCGCCACGAGCACCTCGCCGACGGCGCTCTTCTGTCTCTCTCGCACCCCTACGGCCCTACGGGACGGGGCACGAGTGCGAGCGAGACAGAGCGACGAAAACGGTGTCGAGCCTGCTGGTCGTCCCCGGCCCCGCTCCGTGTGTGACACGCACGCGGCGCGTCATTTTAATTCGTGGGGAGGGGGGGATTAATACGGGTGGCGTGGGAACGGCACCGCGGCAAGCGGCAAAGCGGAGCCGCCCTATCATCAGAGGCCCGCCGCCGCGCAGGCCGCGCAGGCAGGTCGCGCAGGCCACCCTGCCGGCGCGCCGACCGGCCCACCACACGGCCGACCGGCCCACCACACGGCCCACCGGCCCCTTGGCACGGCACCTGTCAAGGATCAAGGTGCACATTTCAATTAGCAAGTACAGCGGCCGCCCTGCCAGCCAGCCGTCGCCGCGCGCGCCAGCAGTGTAGCGGCAGCAGCGCGGCGAAGACGCATCATTTGCAATCTGGCACGGCCCTCCTTCGCCGGGCCCGCGAAAGAAATGGCCGTCGGCGGAAATGGGCAGTGTCGCGTCACGCCAGTGTCACGCAAGCGTCACGCTTGCCAGTGTCACAGCGCCCTGGCCGACGGGGCCCACGGCCGCTTCCTTCTGCCTGCCCCATCTGTCGCGTCATCAGAGACGACATCGACGGGGACCTCCACTGTGGGACCTCCCGCGCCACGCCGCTCGGCAAATCGGCACAAATGTATTACATCCTCCGACCCTCTCCCGGGCCGAGGCAGCCGAGGCGGGCCGAGGCTTCTTGGCGCGTGGCAGCCCCGGGCGCGGCGAGGCGGCAGCGAGGCGGCGGGGCGGCTACATCAAAGGGAATCGCGACCAGAGGGCGGGGCGGGGCGGGGCAGGGCGGGGCAGGGCGGGAGGGCGGCGGCAAGGCGACGGCAGGGCCACCACTTCACCCCCGGCAGGCACGGCGGGCAGGGCTCTTCACACAAAGGTGTGAACCAAAAGGCGTGCGCGCCGCGGCCTGCCCCGATCGCAGGCCCGGGTGGTCTCCGCTCTCCGCCCACCCCGCGGCCCCCGCGGCCCCGCCCTCCTCCGGGGCCCCGCAAGGCCCTGAACCTGGAGGCCGTCGGCCACGTCACAAAGGCGCACCTAATCACAGGGTGCGGTGGTCACGAGGCGGTCCGCGGCCCGGTTTGGCGGCCACGCTGAAGGACTCTAGGACGGCGAGGGCGCCGCGGGGGCGCGACGCGGCGGATGGGCGCTGCGCTGATCAAAGGCCCACGACGCCCCGCGACACCGCGGCGGCCAGTCCGTTCGCACCTGTCCCCGCGCCCCGCACCCCGCACCCGGCACCCGGCACCCCGCGCCAACGCCGACGGTGCGACAGGTGCGGCCAACGATCTGCACGCCGCCGACGAGGAGTCACACCTCGGTCTCCGCTCGCCTCTCACCTCGCGGTCTTTTCTGGCCACACACTTCGGCACTTTATTTTTGCCAGTTTTTCAAAGCCCGGTGGACACAAAGGCCCGGGTCCTTGCCACGGGTCCTTGCCGCGGCAGGGCAGGCCTCCAGGCGGGCGAGCGGGCGAGGGGGCGAGGCGGGCAGGGACGTTGAATGGCGCAGCGACTCGCTAGACCGCAGAGGGAAGCCCCAGACCAATATTCGGCACACAACGCACAGGGCGGCGCGCGCACCGCCGGGCCACTATAATAGCAGCGCGGCCAACCCCACTGTGGCCGAGAAGACCGTCAAGTTGTCCCGACAATGCCCGTCCGCAGAGACGTCGTCGCGGCGCCCGGCGGCGCCCAGAACTTTAGCGGCTCCTGGACCGCGGCCCTTGCGACGGCCTTGGCGGTCACGCACGCGGCCTCGCACGCCACCGCCACCGCACGGCGACACACCCATCGCCACCGCGCCATTACCACAACGAGGGCCGCGGCCTGGCGGCTTGGCGCACGGACAGGACGACCGCACCGCCCGCACGGGCCACACGGGCCACACGGCCGCCGGGATCACGTCAAAGGGATTACAGTGCTAAAAGCTGCTCTGGTGGCTTTGATCCCGGCCAATATGGAGAGGGGAGCCGCGGGGACCGCAACCTGTTGCTTCACTTCAAAGGGAACTGGCGTGGCGTGGCCTGGCCCGGCGGAGGGGAGCGGGCGGCGCTTTGCCTCTGCTTGCCGCGACCGCCGCGACGTGGCCTGCCCTACCCCGCGCTGCCCTGCCCCTACTGATACAGATTCCCCGTCATTTCAATTTCAAAGGACCCAACCGGCCCGTAGTGAGCCAGGCCGGGAGAAGCCAGGCGCCGCGGAGGTTCAAACGGCGAGCCGAGGCTGCGCCGCGCCCCGCCAAGAGGCCCGCCACGCTGCCGCCTGTTGCTGGTGGTTGCTAGTCCCGCCCGCAGCTCCGCGCCGCTCCGCGCCCTTCCCCGCGGCTTTGCCTGCTTTGCCTGCCTTGCCGGCGTGCGAGTGCAACACGGTGGCCACGGCGGCCAGCCCAGCCCGGCCCAGCAGACGCGGGAGGCGCGGGGCAGGGCACGCGGGGCCGACGGCCAAACACAACATTCCTGGCCGTACCGCCGGCCGGGCTTCACGAATTCCGCGTGCGAGTGGGCGTGGCCCGCGGGGCGCGGCGCGGCGCGCGGCCGGCGTGAAAGATGGCACCCCCCTCTCCCTCCCAATGAAATGAATTAGCTCCTCGCAGGCGATACAGGAGTTTCCTGAGTTCCCATGCCGCGCGCCGCGCGCAAGGCGGGGCTGCGTCCGAGGCCGCCGACGACGCGCTCCTCCTCGTCCTTCTCCCCGTCGTCCAGGCCGTCTGGTGGAAGAGGCTCGGACGACTCGGACGCGGCGCTACGCGGCGCGGCCCCCATGGCCGCACTGTCCGGTCCGACTGGACTCGGCTCCGGCGCTCCGGCCCGACTGGTCGGCTGCTACCCAAATTGAGCATTTAACTAAACGCATTAGCCTCAAATTATAGAGGCACCTTCCAACAAAATATGGACGCGCGGGGTTCGGACGCACCCCGCCCTCCCTCCATAATGACGCCCTGCAGGAGCTGCAAGCGCTGCAACGCGGCAGCGGCGCAGCGGGCCGGGGAGGGGACGGTGCACTGCATTCAATAAGGGGGCCGGCCAGCCGGCCACCACACACGCACACACACACACACGGCGGCCGTCCCTCACTTTAACACTCGGTCTAGAGTGCGGGTGCTTTCGGGGGCGCCTTGGCACACCTTTGCACCTCGGACTCTAGGCGAGGTGAGGCGAGGCGGCCCCGGTCACCCCGGCCGGCGGTCCCACGCAGGGCAGGGCGGCCAGGGCCCCAGGGCAGCAGGGGCAGCAGGGGCGGACGGGGACGCCCGGCCGCATTCCTCGTGGCGTTAGCACGTAATGGCGTGGCGTGGCGAGGCGAGGTGTCATGACTGCCGCTCATGACATGCTGCCCGCCGCGCCGCGCCACGCCCACCAGGAACATGCGTGCCGCCTCTCGGCCCTCACGCGGACGGACCGGGGGAGGGAGAGGGGGGAGAAAGGGTGCCATGCCAGGTGACTGGGTTGTTGGGGTGAGCCACTGCCATCAGTTTTACACAATTTCCCTTGACAGAAAAGGAATTGCATTTGCCAGGAAAAGTTTGTGTTTGGCAGCTTCAGATACAAATAATCGCAGATGCAGTGAGTACAGAATGCCTGTGAAAGTCCGACTGATGATGTAGGAATGTGAGACGCAGTACGGTAGAACATGTTTCACTGATTTAGCTGCTGCAGTCACGAGTTTGTATAGCATGTGCTATGCGCTTTTTCCAGACACTAGGGGAAACTTGGTGTAGACATAACAGAGTCCGGCAAGGCACATATCAAGTAAGCAATACTTCAAGCTAATTAATTTTAATAACTACCTATCCCAAAACTGCATTCATAAAATGGGATTTAAAACTTGCCACTCTCTTTTTTTTATACAAACACCAAATTAAAGAATGACAAAGAACGACAAGTCACAAAAGAAAAACAGAAGGGCATTTTCTTGTTACGTACTCATAGAGAATCTTAGTAAATGGTCAGGGACTATGCCAAGGATAATGTATGTGCAAAATGAACAATACTTGCTTATTCTCACGAGTTTTACGAATAAAACCAATACCAAATCATATTGACACAGAGACATACACACAGGTGTTTGACCTCAAGGTAGGGGGTATACAGCACAGGCATTCCAATACAGCCACTTATAGGTTATGTTTACAATGTGAGACAAGGTAGGCAGATGAAAAAAAAAATTAACACAGAGAAGAGAGAAGGTGACTTGACACAAAAGGAGAGCCACTGCTTGTATACCAAGATTGCACTCTAAATCCCAAAACGTCAGTAAAACAGTTACTTATTCGGTATGTAAATTAAAAATGGTCAATCAAGAGAAACATAACCCCAACTAAGTTGGCCCAAATTACTAAAGTAAAACAAAGAATCCAATTCTTTCATGACTAGCAGACAATGCTAAGGTGTTGCTCACTTCTAAAATAGTCCGTGATAAAATACGAACAAAACGTGACAGACAATAAAATTCATCAATACAACGTTACTCACTCATTCAAGGTGAGACGAAAATAAACTCATGAGTACAAGTTCAGTCAGTGTTTACGAAAACTAGGTTATGGGAGCCTTGACAAGATTGTGCCAAACAAATGATGTTGATTCAAAACCGGCGAGGAATCAGAGTAAGTGCTTAAATTAATGCTTTTCGTGGCTCACCTTCGAAATTCCTGCAATCCCTTGGGAGTCGAGATCGACGGAAGAAACGTTGAAATCATGGAAGACGATAATCATCTTACAACAGCACTAAAACATTGTGTAGATAAACGTAACAAGAACAGCTTAAAATCTTCAAATCACAGATAGAGAAGGGAAACTTAGCATGTCAACACAAACAAAGTGTAACGTTCTCACGCAGTCCTGCACTTCCATGAGACATGTTGTGAGTCTCGCTCTACCGGCAGATTTTCCAAGCTCATTCAAATCCTCGACCAATCGGGTGGCGAGCTGAAAGTACGGTTGACTGAACACAGAACTACGGTGGCCAGAGCGGCGGGGCCGCCCCTGCAGCTTGCGGACTGAAGGAACTTGAACGCACAAATGCGATATGTGGGCAAATGACGGAGCACGTGGCCGTACCGATCGCACTGAGGTTTGAACATCCGACAATGCCGTGCCGTTCGTCACCGGGCAACCTTTTCGCCCGCGAGCCGCTCTGCCAGCCGGGCCCCGCGCTCGCAGTTTTCCCGCCGAAATCCAGAATTCCGCGTGGTAAGGACACTGTTCGCGTACCGCCCCTGGCAAAAGTGTCGGCGCGTCGCTGCCCCGTCTACCGGAGGCCCAGAAAGCCTCTAACATCCGCCTACGTGCATGTCACCGGCAGGTACTCTAATCGGCAGGGTCAGTCCTTCTGCTGCCCCTCGAATTCGAATGAGGACGCGTCTGCCTACGGACCCATGGCATGGCCGGCTCGGCAGACACCGCGGAGCCCGGGGGAGGCGGGGCGCTCGGGGTGACCGAGGTCAAGGACTCCGAGACCGGACATGAGTTCAGCAGCCTGCGCCATGAGTTCAACTACTACTCTCGCTTCGTCCAGCCCCTCGCCGCCACGCTGCCCTCCGTTCAAGGTGACTTGACGGCCTTCGAGCGAGGCTCTGAACACACGCCTAGCCAGACTGGAGAGCGTAGTCAGTAGGACTTCCCCTTTCCCTTGCCCAGAGAGGGCGACCGCGGCGCAGTGGTATCTGGTGCTGTCCTCGTCGCGATCCAGCGTGCACAACGAGTACCTCAAGCAGCTGCTGGTCTGCTGCACTCTAGGCCGCCTGCTGGGGGTGTTCGCCACGCCGCCGGCGTCCCCGTGCCTGCCGCCCCTGCCCGCGTACCACTCGGTATGGACCGGGACGGTGCAACGCAGTGCAATCGACAGCTAGACGAGGATGCATGATAGCGGTGATCGTTCTCGCCCTAGGTGGCGTGGTTGACGCGTACTGCGCGCGCCCTGGAGCAGGAGAAGCGCAGCAGTGCTGGCGAGCCGACCACTGTCAAGGAGGAGGAGAAGAAGGAGATCACCGAGGCCACCGAAGGGGTCCCCGAAGGGGCGACCGAGACCTCCGACGTTGCCGCCGAGCCCGACGCCGGGACCACCGTGTCCTCAGACGCTGCCGCCAAACCCGGCGCCGACGCCGATCGCAAGGACGGTGTTCCCGACGACGGCGTCCAGCCGGTGCAGGTGGAGGTGTCCGCGGGCGGGACGCAGTTCCTGGCCGTGCAGGATAACAGGGAGGACGAGAGCCACTTCTACTACGCCTTCTCGTCGGAGCCGCTATCGTGCTGGATCGGTGCGGTGGACGCCGCTGTGCCGGAGGTCCTGGTGAGTTTGCCTGGTACACCGTAAAATAATTGGATCTTCAGCGGCGTCGGGAATCGAGCCCTACTTTCAAGCTGTGCGGCTTTGTGCCCCGTGCCCCGCCACCGGCGGATCCAGGTGGTTCCTCCGGAAAAGCCACCCGAGCCTTCCGGTACCAGCGAGCCTTCCGGTCATTCCGGCACCAGCGGCCCGGCCGGCACCACCGGCTCCGGTTCGGTGCCTTGGCTGTCTTCCCACGAGGGCGAGGGGATTGACTGGCTCGTGGCAAACCCCGGCTTTCTCACGCTGCCGTCCGCAGAGAGGCAAGTCCCCGTTACTCGCATCCACTCCCTTGCTGTTGCAAAAATGACGCGGTTTTGCTCGTCGGCAGGCCGCCCAGCTCGCTGTGGCAGGACGCGAGCCCCCGCGACGAGCCCTTCGCGGACTACGGCGAGGGCACGGCCGTGTCCGAGGCCGGCCTGCCGCTGGGGGCGGACCAGGGTCTCGGCCGCCTCGGCCACAGCCCCGCCACCGTGTGGGTCAAGGACGTGCGGGGCGAGCTGACGGAGGTGCCGCTGGAGGCCGTGTGCGGGGAGACGTGGCGCCCAGCTGAGCAGGTCATCGCAGAGTTGGGTAGTCTCATAGTCCCGCCAAGTCTCTCGCTGCACTTGCTCCGGATCAGCACGTAGACGCCGGCCGCTTAAATTGCACCAAGCAGACAGTTGCATTGTCAGCCTCCGCAACAATGCCCCGCCTTTCCCGCACCCCGCGAGGCCGCGAGGCCCGGCCATGGCCCAGCCTATCAGTCAACGCCACCAAAATTCACAGTGATCGTAATGCCAGATTGAAATCGCCGCCGTGAGCCTGACTCCCTGACTGCCTCGCCGTGGCCATGCGAGGTGGCCGAGGCCGGGGCCGGGGTGGGGGGCCCCTTAGGCCCTGGGCGAGGGGCGGCGAGGCCCTGCAACAGGTGGCGACGCTGCGGCGTCCAACAACAGACCCAACAGACACGCATGTACGTCGCGGACCCGCCGACTCGGCGCCGAGGCCGTCGAGTCCCTATCCCTCGCGACCAAACACCTTGACGCCGGCGCCCCGTCCCGGTCTCGTCCCCGGCCTCCCCGTCGTGGAAAAGGAACCCGGACCCCGACGTGCAGTGCCAGCAGTGCCAGCAGTGCGCAGCAACAGCACGCCTTTGTGTTCCTGCAGGTGCCACAGGCCTGGGAGGGGCGGCGTCGCCCTCAGCAAGGGCGGGAGCAGACCCATGGTCCATTCCTGTAGCGGTAGCGGGGCCGGCGTCTGCGGAGGGGTCCTTCTGGGGGGCCCAGGGCGCGTTCGACGTGTCCGACGCGTTCGAGTACTCGCGGGCCGCGCCCTCATCACAACTCGCCGCGTCTCCGCGCACACCTGCGGAGCAGACGCCGCCGTCCGGAGCGGGCCGAGGTCCCGGCCACCCCAGCAGCAGCGCCCCGCGGTCCCACGTCCGCCTGCGGATCAGCACGCCGTCCAGGGACGCCGTCGTGGTGCCCGGCGAGAGTTCGCCCCAGAACCAACACTCCGCGGGGCCGTCACGACCCGCCTCGCCGTTCGTCGCTGAGAGTCCCAGGTGTGGCACACTGTGCACGGTGTGACGACAACGGCAGTGAAGCCAAGCCGCCGTAGTGAGCGCCTCGCTTCTCTCGGTGCGCAGGGGGACAGGTGCCGACATGTACAGGGGGTACGCGTCCAGCACGGACGACTCCTTCGCGCCCCCACTCGCCTCGTCGCCCTACGGCGGCAGTGCACACATGGGCTATGGCGGCCCGCCGGTGAGGTCCACGACGAACGGCAGGCCCTTGGCTGGACCGGATGGATTCGAACACCCGACTGAACTGCCGTCCGCCCTCAGCAGGGGTGGCAGCGCGCGGCGCACCCCATGCTGCCCGTCACCGCCTTTGCGCTGCCCATGCCCTCCGGGCAGCAACGGGGGCGCGTGGCGGCGGGGGCGGCGTACCCGCGGCGGGCGGCCTTCGGCTACGACGACGGCAGCTCGTACGCCACGTCGTACGCGTCTTACGGTGGCTCCGCCGGGTGGTCGGGGCAGTCCGCCGCGCCGGGCTGGGACTCGCTGGGCCAGACCTACGGCACGGACGCGACCGAGCCGAGCGGCCCCAGCGCCAGTTGGGGCGCCGGGGGGTGGCCGTTCAACTACTCGCTGTCCAGGTCGGCCAGCGCGCCCGCCACCTCCACCATGGACAGGTACACTTGTCAGGCTCCAGCCGCAGGTCCGCAGAGTGGGGGCTCACCCCTTGACTCGCCTCTCTTGGCTTGCCGGCAGCGTGTTGAACGAGGCCATGCTTAGCGGTTCGAGCGGCGCGGGTTCGAGTCCCAGCGAGCCCTCGCTCGGGGCGCGCTTTGTAGACGAGACCGACGACTACGAGCTGCCCCGGCCACGCCCCCCAGCCACCACCCCCACCGGAACGGCGCGCAGCCCCCGACGACCGTTCAACATCGGTGACGACATGGAAGGCAGCCTGTTCAAGACGGCGCCGACGACGACGCGCCAGGACCAGCGGCAGCGCCAAATCCACCGCGCCGTCAGCGACAGCATGTTGGACCAGCGCCACTTCCAGGTCTGGCGTCTGGCCGCGAACAGGGGGAGCCGAACTCGGGGAATCGAACCGGCAGATCCCGAGCAGCTTGGATGTCCCTACAGCTTGGCGACGTGGGTGCCTCTTCGACGCCGCAGCAGTCCGCAGCGTCACGGACCTGGCGCTCCGGGTCGTCGTGGGGGCCGGGGCCGGGGCCGGGCCAGAGGATGGCGACGAGCACCCCTGCGGCCGCAGCAAGGGGGGGCGCCCCCGTCCGGCGGCAGCTCGTGTTCGACGACAGCGAGAGCATGGAGGAACCATCATCAGCTCGCTTCGCCGATCAGTCGGGCAGCTACTGGACTCCTTCCACGCGAGGCCACAACGCCCTCGTCCCGTGCTTCGCAGGCAAGGATCAATCAGGATAATGAGGTTAGACATACGGGCGCTTGGTGCTGATAGTGGTCCTGCAGCCCCGGTGACGGCCACCGACGCCAGCTCCATTTGGACGCCGAGCCCGGCTCCCCGCGCTGGCCCCCGCCGCGCCTTGCACTACGGCCCGGAGTACGACAGCCCCCACGGCGCGCAGAGTGTCGCCATGGCCGTGCCGGACGCCCCCCAGAGACCGCCGCGGCGTCGCGGACCGCGACAGCTGCCTCCGGGAAGACCGCCACAGGGGATCTACTGGGGGCCGCCGGGGGCCACGTCCACGCCGACCTCTCGTGCGCACGAGGTGGTCTGGCCGCCCCCGCCCCCACCCCGCGGACAAGGACAACCGCGCACGTTCCGGTAAGGACGAGGCAAGGCGAGGCGCCGTCACGTTCGAGACCTCCGGGCGGGTCGGGCAGGCGGATAGCGCCTGCGGGTCGCGGGATAGGCCACACGCCCGACACGGCTGTCACCATGTTGCCTAGGCCAGGAGTCTAGGCTGTCTAGGCGACTCTCCTCGCCCAGTTCGCCTTGACGCGCCGCGCTGGCCGGCCGCCGCCTGTCGAGGCGTACTCCGAGAATACCCCTGTCTTGTTCGCAGAGGGATTCAAGTGCCCGGCGTCCCCGGCGCCACCATCAGCGCCACGGTGTACCCGGACGGCACGGTGGCCACGGCTTCCTACAGGGTGAGCCCAGAGCCCAGCCCATCCGCGTCCCTAAGCACTTGTTTTGCCTTTCGCCTGGCCGCTGACGGCGGGCTGACGTCGTCCTGGGCCTCTGCTTGCAGGGTGTCGCCACCCCCGGCCGCGCCCCGCCGGTGCGCCACGGCTGGTTCCGGGTCAGCGAGACCGGCAGGCCCGGAGCGCCGGGCACGCGGTCTGCGCACGCCCCGCTCGACGCCACCCTCGCCTCCACCCCCCGCATCGCGCCGCGCCCCCCGCGCCCGCGCACCCGGCCCCAGCTCCGCGCAGGGGCCATCCCGCGCCGCCTGTCCTTCTCGGAGACGGCCTCCGACTGGACGGGCACGACGGGCACCATCCAGACGGAGCCAGAGGTCGAGTTCCCCCCGAGCTCTCCCAGCTCCGCCTACGACACCAGCTACCGCACGGCGCAGTCATCGTACAGTGACTACCGCAGTTTTTGACCCTCTAATCCATTCAGTTTTAGATTCATGGTGGAAATGCAACCCAAGCATGATTTCAAACATATCAAAAGGTGAATCAAAAATACTGGGTTTATGTTTGGTTGTAAGATCAGTTTATTTTCTTCACAAGCATCTTTACATCACAGATACACACAACAATAAACTGAATGAAATGAACCAAAGAAAATCTCATAAATTAAGAAAGATTACAGGGGAATTTGAAGGAATCAAAATAAGTGCTTGGAAATAAAAACAACAAAAATTGACAGTTCATCTGAAAACTTCATTGAAGACAGTAGACAGATTCAAAAATATTTAGCATTGAAAATAACCAAGGAAAGAATACATCACAAGATGTAACCAGGGAAATCCTAGTCTCATCACAAGATTTAAAATAAAACACATGGACAACTTTCAGTTCAGGTAATGACCTCAGTGAAAATTACCCTAGTCAGTCAAAAGAGGCAGCAAGCATGTGAAATGAACCATACAAAGGTTTATGAAAACCAGTCAACAAAGAACAATCAAATAGAGAAACATACATTATTCTTTAATAATAAAATAGTTTAAAAAAAAACAACACTTTTACCAAAAAAAAAAAAATGTACAGAAGCCCCCAACCTGATGTTCATGACCTCTGAAGTTTGGATCTGTAAGACAAAGTGGGAAGATAATAAAGACTTTGAAAACAATCTCCTCCTTATAAGCACAGCCTTTGAATTTTCAAACTGTTACTTACTTGGGCATGAACCCAAAGGCACTTAGTTTGCTTTGTCCTTGAACAGTTGGGGATTTCTTTTTCAGACCAGGCGTACGGCAAGTTAGCTTGCGATTGCTAGGGGTGGGTTGTTTACTTAGACGGGCAGTCTTTGCTTCATTGTGTCCCTTACTAGGACTTTCAAATCCATCATCAGGTTGCGATGGTACCTGTGAAGAGAAAATGAATTTGTGAATTTGGACAAGTAACTACCTAACAGAATCTAGATTAATGACTCTACACATACATTGGTGGGGCTGCATGGAGTGAGGCTTGTGCTAGACTCAAAACCAGGGTCATCTGCATCTTCATAATCATTAGCATAAATTTGCCTGTGTTCAAATGGCTGCTCCTCATCTACAAAACTCCCAGAGGCACAATTTTCATCAGCTACTATCTTGGATGGAGATGGCACATTTTTTTTAAACGGGTTCTTGGAAGGTGATGCTTGTAATTTAGGAGCACAATCCTGGAAATTCATTAGAATATTAAAATTTGTAACAAGATGAGATAATACAAAAGAGAATTAAAATAAGGGGAAAGAATAATACACACCTGTTTTGCAAACTTTTCGTTCATGATTTTCACAGCATCATCTTTTGAAAATGAACCCGATTTAGATGAAGTCTTATCAGAATTTGCTGGAGAATCTTTGATTGAACTCGACATTGATGCAAATAAGGGCTTTCTATGTATCCTTGGGGAGTCTATCCTTTCTTCAGGAGTTTTCTTGTAAATCTGAAAATTTAGTTTCACTACATTCAGTTCTCTTTTCCAACAGAAACAGTTAAATATGACTTAAGATAATTACCTCCATTACGTTGAACTCTTTTTCAGGACTATCATCAAGTGTATTAGAAACATCTCGTAGGAGAGAGTGACTTTCAGCAGACTCATCAGAACCTGTACTTGTTGAACCAAAATACCTACAAGTCGCAAAAATGAAAACATAAATGATGGATCAAAGGTATTTACCACACCAAGTGTCAGATTTAGTTTACCTGCTTTGAACAATTGGTTTTCCTTCAATGGATGTTCTATGGACAGCACGAGCAAATTTACTAAGAGCACTAAATTTGCTAGTCTGCTTGGTACTACTTGGTACTGGAGTGTCCGGATGTATCATTTGTCTATTGTCAGAAACATTAGTGCTCTGGGGACTCCGGACAAATGGATTTTTGGTTCTTCTGAAACCATATAACACAAAGATTGATAAACTGTTCAAAGATCTCCACTAATAACTGTATACTTGGTCATTTTTTAAAAATTACCTTTTACTACAAAGAATGGGAGAAGTTGGAGATTCTTGAACTTCTGGACTGTAAGATTCACACACACTGGCTGAGCTTTGATCGTTGGAATGATCAGGGCTTGTGTATATGGACGTGAGGATAGAATCCCTGACATCCAGAGAACGCCTCTTTGCATCCACAGACATGTCATCTTAAAATATTAAAGGTTATTTTAAATTGGTAGCAGGACCTTTAGAGTAGAGGTCACACAAGAATAGATAGTGGATTTTCGAATTACCTTCTTCTAAAATTCGTTTCTTGTTTTTGTTTGCCAGTTTGTTGGTATCCACAGCTTCAATTTTTTCCTTATTAACAAATTTTCTTTCATTAGGCATAAATGATGGAACTACTCTTGGTGGTGGTTTTGTCATCTTTTCTTTGAACTTGGGATCCCATATACTTGGATGGGGAGCTACTGCAGTTTGATTCCATCCTTTTGTTCTGACTCCCTGGCTCTTCAAAGAAACAAAAAGAAAAAGATCATGGTTTAAAGTCAATACAAAACAGAATAAAAAGGACAATGTACAAAATTTCTTGCAAAGAAAGAAATTAGGCTACTCACTGGATCCCTCGGAGACATTGGGTCATAACTATCAACCTTTTCTAACTTGAATGGATCTAGATTCCCAAGAGCGAGCTGGTAACTGGTGTCTTCATCAAATTCTGGAACACACCCAGGCAAGGGGCCACAGGCTAAAGGAGAACCTGGATGGACACTTCGGTGTGGTGTAAGAGGCTTTGGTTTCCTTGTGAGGGGATCAAAGACTAACTGATGCCGGAACATAGCATCAGCTTTCATAAACTCATCTCTGTATTCCATAGATACCGTCAAACCACGTATATTTAGCTGGGATGGTAGTCTACTTAATGCCTGCCAAAGAGATACATTTCAAATCCTTACTGTTTAAAACCTCAACTAAGACAGAAATATGGATGTCTTTTAACTAAAGGCCTACCTTGTGAATGTCAGGATCTTGTGTACGTGTAATAAATTTGGAAGCCTTGCCGAGGCCTATGCCTTGAAGGGAGTCTAAGTAGTCACAACCAGACAGTATACACATATAGCGAAATTTATCAAATGAATACGTCTGTGGCCTTGGTCCCATGGAGAGATACAATCGCTCTTGATCCACAAAAATGCCATTACCCGCCAGGTCCAACTTAAACATGACCTTGATAAAGATTTTAAAATAAAAATTAATTTAAGAAAAAAATAAAGCTATTTACAGAACATTTACATGAGATGACTTTATAGACAAAAAAATTACCTTTTTGCAACCGAACAAAAGAAGATCAGAGTCTTCAGTGATGATGACATCTGCAATACCTTCACGGCTAAAGAAAGCTAACTGAGCATCTGCTTCATACGGAGCCACAATGCAGTCAACATTTCGTCTTCGACACTCTTGCATGAGAGTTAACGCCATTTTATGTGTCACATCTATGCATCGCCTCAAGTAGTTCAGGCCTTCTGTGGTGTTACCCTGCCGAAGAAGATTTGCTGCTGTCTTACGGTTTTCCTCTCTTCTCCTGCAAACAAAACAAAATACATGGTGTGTGTTAAAAAAATATACTTGAGTACAATATAATAAAGTACAATGGGATATACTTACTCTCTTCTTTTCTTTTCGGTGTGGGCCTTTGCAGGCAAATGTCTTCCATCAAACACTAAAATAGGTTTTATGTCATGGGCAAGAAGCATATTGACATACTTCATACAGTACTGGACATACCTGGAAGTGTATAAGTACACTGATAAAAACATTCACATGAGACAGACAACATGTTTATGAATTAAATGATGATTTTATTTCATTAAATAACCAGTTAGCAACTTTTTATCAAAGTTCTAAATTCAACGTGCGACTGTAAATAAGTCATTGAAGAAAAGCTATGAAGAGGTTAATGTAATGTAACAGCAACAAGAGTCTGACATGACATATTCGACGGAGACAACCAGTGATAAATATGAACAAAACGATGAAATTGAGACACGTACATGTCCGTTTCTTCGCCACGAGCAAGTTTGTCGGCACATGCGAAGGCTCCTTTGTGAAGCCAACAGTAGGCATCAGCTGCCACGGTACATCCTTGGAACTCTTTCAAGTTTGCGGGCCGGGACACTTTCGCCTTTTCCAGGAGAGGCAGCAGGCCAGTTATTCCCATTTTCCGGCTGGTGAAAATGCAAACCGAGGCACAAATCAGCCATCGACGACGCCCCTAAAATGTGTTAAAGCTCGCGTGTCCGTGGACTCCAAACCACAGTGGACAGCAGACAGAATTTCGCTGGCGCCGGTCTTTGGCGCGCTAAATAGGGCAATATGCGAAATACTGTGGAACGATAGTATGGCAAATCAGGTCAGTCAGATGGCGTTCCCTGCGCAGGAAGAATCCTGGAAAATTTGCCCATCTCCGATAGAATTGGATTGAGTCCGAAATGGCTGCAGCCTCTTTTACCGGAGCCTGAGCTTCTCTCTTTGTCACGTGGAGACGAGGCTGTCGTGCAGCACACGCGCCAGTTTGAACGCCAGTGCAGCTCCCGCCACCGCCAGCTAGAACTAGCCTCTAACGAGGCGGGCCGTCTCGGTTTTGGCGCGCATTCTGTGTGACGTAGAGCAGACATCAAGATGTCAAGAGAAAAGAAATTTGCATCTTTTCTTGATTTTTTAATTCTGGTCTGTGTAAGCAAGGAGGTGAATGACGATCATTAAGAGAACACTCAATTGAAAGAAACACAATTTATTTAGAATAATATGCTTTCCTTCCATAATAAAAGAAAATATGTTTTTACATGAAGAGGAAAAAAACTGAACTTCCCACACAAAAATATAAACACAGCCCTTTCTTTTTTCCAATCATTTAAAAACATTCTTCTTTAATAATATCAAACTAAGCTTGGAACTGTCTTCCTAATCAACATTAAATTTAAGAATTCATGTTAAGTTCAAATCAAAACACATAACTTAAATCAACTTGCTTAACTTCAGCTTTGCAAAATCAAAACATATTTCACATAGAAAGTCCAGCCATTGTCGGGCAGACACTGCACTGCATAAATAAATATACACAAATCAATTTCAAGATATAAATGTAAGAGAAATTTGATCTCTTGAATTACGCTGAGACTGACTATCTGTCAAAACCCTATCAGTAAAAAAAAAAGAAGGGTTTCAATTTTAACTGATAGAACCCATTTATTTATCAGATGAGGAAGAGTCCTGCAACAAAAAGTTTTGTAACAATGAATTCTTGTTGATACAGTACAATCTTTCATAATACAAATTAATGGTGAGAAGACTAACCGAAGAATCACAGTCCGCACAGTGCCAAGAATATCCTCGAATCTTCGGGGATTTCCTCACAGGGGGATCGAGGCAGTGGAAATGGTAACATTTCTTACACTCATCACACCTGCAAACAATTAGAAAATCTTTTCTTTAAAAAATGTTCTAAAAAACCTAATTAACTTTCAGAGAACCTCCTCTTACCTCACAAGATTCTCCTTGGAACCAGGCTGTTGGCAATGGTCACATTGAGTCAAAATGTCTTCCACCTTCTTTTTGGCCCCTGAAAGTCTTTGAGGACGAGGTCCCATGTCTGTAGGCGGTAGTGAAGTTGTGGTTGTTGAAGAAATTGACATGGGACTGATACCAGCATTCATCATGGGGCTGGCTGATGAGACCAAAGTTGTGACCATGTGTGGTGTGATAGCCTGGCTTGTTGGTAGCACACATCCTGGTTGGACCGGGAGTGGATGTGCCACATCTTCATCACTAGTCATCGCAGATGCCACATAAGTCTGTACAGTTTGTCCCAAACCAGTTGGAGTAATTGTCTTTATCTGAAACAAAAGAACACTCAAATAGTTACAAACAAATACCTAATTAATGATCATGTTTGTGTAAGCACCCAGCATAATGAGAAAGTACCTTAATTTTGGGAACATGAGGCTGAGGATGGGTAGGAGAAACCTGCCAATTTTCATGATCAAAACTCTTCTTTTTCCTTTTCCGTTTGCGCTCAGCATTTGAACCATCTGGGCTAAGTTCAGGGGAGTACCGGTGCTTCTCCTTTCGCTTTTTCTTGGAAGCTTTGGGCTTCGAATCAGTACTTGGGCCAGGAATAATCTCTATGTCAGCATCATTTCCTGCATCTAAAGGTCAAAAATATTTTTTTTTAAGGTTTCTTTGTGAAATTAAAAAGAACAAAACAAGTAAGGATGCACTTAAAACCGCAGTGTAATGAATTCAAAAGAACTTTGAAACAAGGCCATACCCATGGAAATGTTGGAGAGTAGTCCCGAGTCACTTTGAACAGCTTCTCCATCAGATTTGCCCTACAAGTTTAGATAAGTATAAGTTATGAGTGTTAGGTTAGAGACTGTTAGTTAGTACAAAAGGGGATAGTTTCTCACATGACTTTTGTCCGATTTGCGCCTGAGTTTCCTAGGAGCTTCAGGATCTAAGCATGGAACATCCGATCCAGAAGATTCTCTATCACATTCTGAGCATTGCCTGCAAAACAATAACAGAGGGGATATTTTTTTAGTAAATTATTATAAGCAGTTAATTTGTCTTTTTAATTGAAACTTACCAGCCAAAGAGCTTAGTTTTCTTTGGCATTCGTGTGAGTGGTGGATTCAAACAGCCTAAATGGTAATACTGCTTGCAGTTATCACAGTGTGCAAGAAGATGTGGGTCATTGCTTTGTCGACATTTCCCACATGGCCCAAGGACTGGAGCTACAGTTGAACTTGAGCTAATAGTCGAGGAGGCATCCACAGCAGCAGTGTGGGCAACAGCCACAGAATTAGGCAAAGTACGAGCAGCCGCAAAGCCTTGAGCCAAAGAGTATGGGAATGCTTTCAGTGCTCCAGCAGTGGGAACAGCTGGGGTAGAAAAAAGATATGGAAATTAATTTTCAGAGGCAATAGAAAAGTAACACTGCTTTAATATGAACCAATCATCACTTACCATGAGAATTGGCTGTGGGTGGAGGTTTGCTAAGTGATTCAACAGAAGGTAAGGCTTTCTTGGGGCAAATAGCATGAATCATTCCATGAAGCATCTTTATTTTTTCCTTTAGTACCTTATTCTTTTCATCCTCTTCTGCTTTGATGGTCAATAACTGTGAATAAATGGTCACCCATTGGATAATTTTCATTCAACAATTGAGCTTGAGACTTATCAAATAAGAGGATGAGGGGGTATGTCACAGAGGGGGAGCATGGTCAAGAAATTACCTGCTCATATTTTTCACCACTGGCCTTCTGCTCATCAAGCAGTTGAGCATTACTCTCCACATAGTCTTGCAGTTGCTTCTTCATTTTTGAGATCCTTCCAACACGGTCTAGGAAATAGGCTATGAACTCAACACTGGAAATGAACAGAAGAAATGAGTGACAAGAAACTGAAAAATAACTGAAGAGAGAATGCATTGATCACGAAGATTAACCTGAAAGAGGGAGGAATGTGCCACTTTCTATTCACATCTTTCAGTGATGATATTTGAGCTTCCTGGGCCTCCATGGCTCCTGTGTTCATTCCAGCCAATTCTGCCTTGCGCCACAAAAGACGACAGGCAGTGGCTGATGTAACCAACGCTCTAGGCATCTTTTGAGTCGGTGGCACTGCGAGAACAGAGTTATGTAGGGTGTAAAAATGGTCTATCAAGTCAACTATGCAAATCAAACAATTTAAAAAAAAAAAAAAGTGTTGTCTTACCAAATGCCTGAGAATTTGCAGTGCGATAATCTAAATAGTGACTTCGGGCTTTTCTAAACTTTCTTTGTATTCTCTCAACTTCTTTCTTGTCCTTCAGCTCCTGCTCCTGTTTTCGTTCCTTCAAACGGTCTTGCAAAAGAATGAAATTTTGACGCCGTCGTCTGAAATATGACAATGCAACATGTTTACACTTTAACAACAAACAGTGGTACACAAAGTGATGAAATGAATAAATTACTTGGTCAGCAGTTTATCAGAGTGCATTTTACAGTGTGCATAAAATTTGTCAACTGTTTCTGTTTCTGGATCCTCTAGGTGAGCCTCTTGAAGGAGACCCATTCTCTGAGCACTGCAATTGAAATTAGCTTTAATTAATTTTCAGAACTATTGGTTGATGGCAGTTGGCTTTAGGTAAAAAGACCACCATTGGAGTACAGATAAAAATTCACCAACCATGAGGCATGAAAATATGTACGACACATCCCGGCATCACATTCAATGCAAACACCAGTTCTTGCCAAACGCTCATCTTCACATAGAGTGCAAACCTTGGCACCAAACTTAGTGTAGGGCATTTTAAACAGGGATAATTTTTCTCCATCAGTCGGAAATAGTCCAGGTATATACAAGACACAAACTAAATGAGCCCATCGGCCCACATCAGTTTCTTTGAAAATTCCACCTGCCACAGAGAATGGAAAAATGACAAAGAGTTACCTTACTACTTAAGAAATGATAAGGCAACAAGCGAAGCTCACCTGAATTTGGACAAAGCTCACAACTGGGGTCAGTCACTCCAGCTCGACAGACATCACAAAACCATGGCAAGTCAGGATTGGAAGAATCTACACTGGCTAAGCTATCACTGTCAGACATTCCATAACATTCTAGGCACAAAAAGATAAAAAATTAGCTACAGTTGACATTCATTGGAGGTATGAAAAACATGATCAAAGAAAAACTTACTTTCATGGACAGTTACACCACAGCTATCACATTCTACCAATTCATCAAAGTCATCATTACTATCTCCCAAGCAGCCCCAACATCGTTTTACCAAGTTCTTCTTCACCTATCATTCAAAATGTTTGTCCATTAGTAGAGGTGAATTCACATCCAATGAAAGCAGAAAATAATTACTATAGTTCACAAACCTTCTTGACAATTTCAGAATTTAAGCCACCAGCTGAATTGAGCCTCTGCTGCAACTCCTCAGCAGTGATACCTGATGATTTGGAATTTTCTGCCTCATCATTGTCAGAATCATCATCACTGTCATCATCGTCGTCATCATCATCATCACTAGAACCATCACTCCCACTACCTGAAAATGTATTAACAGATAAGTATAAGAGAGAGATGCTGGGAAAACATGATAAATTGAAAAACGAAACAATGAATTTTCCTCTTGCCTTGTTTGCTTCCTTCGTCATTGGAATCCAGGGAGTCGTCTGACCCATCTTTGTGTTCCTCAGGATTGAAATCACTGTCATCAGAGCTCTCTAAATCCAAATCAAACAGTGGTTGTTCTACTGGCTTAACTTTTCTTTTATTTGGATCCCGCTCTCCTGCAAAAATTGAAACTGGTGCACAAAACACCTTATTAGTAATTAAAATTTCATGTAACAATAGACATTAACAGAAAATGACAGTCTCTCTGTACAGTTGTTCTTAAACTGTTGAACAATTTGTTGCACTAAATTCTGCAAGAGTTAAATGAATCAGTAAGAGACCGACAAACTATTTGACTGTCGCAACACTGAATGAAAACATCAAGGAAACACGCTGCAGATATCATACTGACTTATGTGAAACTTTAATGATAATACTACTGTGACAGAACCAGAAAATTTGGGGAAGGTTTGCAGCAACTTCCATTAACAAGTGTACGTTATCAGATATAGGTCGAGGGCAGTGTCAAATGCGACTGGTACACTGTGTTCTGACCAAATGCACTGAATCCGCACGTCGTGCGAAACGTAAAACGAGCAAAATGACATTAAAACTAGCCGGGCATGGAGCGTCCGGCTCCAGCCTGGGACTGGGAGGCCACCGGCAAGGATTGCTCCAAGGCAAACGGTTTAACACTTACGCCAACTCATTTTAAACGAGGTAGATTTCCGGTTTTCTCCAGCGGCACAACCCAAGGCGCTCCTCCAAAGTTACGTCACAAATGCCCAGCGACAAGGGGATAAAGTGCAAGACTTAAATTTCTTCAAGGGATGATAACTCCCATTATCCGCCTTCAAGAAATTGCGGTTAGGGAAGCTTGAGGTGGCTTGCCGCGTTCAGTTAGCTAGCAGATGGGAAGAGAAGGAAAAGGTAGTTTTCGCACTTGCTAGCAGCTGTCGCTTCAGACATACAAACACGCTGAACGTAAAATTTCATTGTCGTCTTTCATTTTTAGAAATAAATGCAAAGATAAAATGGGTAATGTATTGTAGAGGTTCATTCCAGACGCCCGAGCAAAAACCACAGGGGCTTTCTGCTTTCTGTGAAATATTTTTGTTTCAGTTTGACCAACGTAACGTGCAGCAACAAACATCAACAAAAACAAAAACAAATTTGGATTTCTGCATACTCTGCTGTTTTCTCTGCTGAAAATTCTGCCCCAATGTATGTTGTCAGCGTGTTCAATGTGTAGTTTCCATATCGCGATTTAAAGTAACATTATATTGTTTTTTCATTTTTGATTAATTTTATAGGCTATCTCTGCACCCTCTCAAACAGTGTGGTGACATCAAAACTAACCGATAGGTTACTTGATTCTGACACTTCGTGTGCTCGGCCAATCCACTATGGGTTCGGAGCAGAGTACATCTGCTGGTGGTGGTGCTGGCCAATGGCCCCAGCGTTCCGTCTCAGCAGCAGCTGACAGCAGAGTCAACCAGTTTCGTCGAGGGAAATCTTTGGCGGAACGGTCTGAAAGCTCCATGGAGGATCACGATGATTCTCCTGGCAATCGCCCTGGGAACACATCTCCTGGTCCCAGTATTTGTTCTGATTCTGACTTACCGTATATTTCATATACTGTCAGTCGCCCAATTGGAGGTGAGGGTGAGAGTGGTTTTATTGTTTGATAAATGAGTATAAGGCATGCAGCTGACTGGAGACTAATCCTACTTTTATTTATTTTGCCTATAGATTCGCCAAAGCTGTCCAACAAGCAACAGCTTCAGCGTGGCCGGTCTCTTGGGGGCGCAATGCCTAGCTTACAACTCCAGTCTGGTAGTGCCAACAAGAACCGCCATTCAACAGGGGGGATGATCTCAGGCAGTTCGCAGAAATGGAATCAACAGGCACAAAGACCCCACAGCATAGTTGTAGTTAAAGCAGCAGCTGACCCTGTAACACTGGAGAAGGATACAGATCTTGTTCGTCTCCAGGTAACCTATTGTACACCTTGATTACATAGATTTTGATTTGTTGGTGGTATCATATCTAATTTTATTTGCATTCATCTTGACAGAATGTTCCGATGTTCTTACCCATCATGCGTGGTACACTTAATCTACCTGCTGCTCGGGATCCTGAGGTACTGGAAAGGCTTGATCCAAGTGGAACATTGAATTTGTGTCTGCGGTATCAGCAGCACCTTGCATTGTGTGCCAATGCTGTTGCGGCAGATCAAAACCAAATTATTTCGAAAGTGAGAGAGGTAAGTGTGTAAATTGCTTCACCAAGATAGAATTATTTTTTATTTAAATCATTTTTTGCCTTGCAATTTCATTTAAATTAAAATACTTTTTGTTGCAGATTGACTTTGAAACACAAAAGCTAGTAACGTCACTTACTGAGCGTCAGAAGAAATTTTCAAAGTTTGCTGAAAAACTGCAAAAAGTTAGGGATGTCTCAAATCAATTAAACAAATGCCATATTCTCCTTAACCAAACATTAGAAAATATTGAAACTTTAAATAATGCTCTGCCTTTGGACGATCGTTTAGAGCCATTTGTTTGGACTACAGGATGACAAACACCAGATGAGGAGCAGACACATGAGATTGATGACAATTCTGAAGAAATTGATTTGAAGTAATTGTAACTTCGGAATCAAAATTGCCATTGCCTGCTTCTCATCTTCAAAACACTGCACTGTGATATTTTTATTTGCCTAGCTCTGAATTTTGATCTCTCTGTGATGCTGTCTTAGTGTAACCAATTTTTACATACAGTGATGATGTCAAATTTGTATCCTTGTTAACGTTAGGTGTTGTAGACGGTTTGTAGTCAGCTTTTCCCATCATCTCCCAAAGGTACATTCACTGGTGTTTTATTTTTTTGACAATTTCATTTTTGTATCTGTCAAAAATAATGTTATAATAAAGGAGCCCTGTAGTATTAAATATACTCATACAACTAATATTTGGTTAGGTAAAATTATACCCGTGCATAAACACCTGTAGCTTCTTTCATAAGTGCTCCTTAGCTTGTGTGTTCTCCAGAACACTTGAGAAAGTTGACATAGGTATTTGTCTGTCCATATCTCTACACATGTCTTAGTGTTGGGCTGTATGTGATTTCCAGTCTAGTCATATGAGTGATTCGAGTGTTTTCATACCCGTGGAAAATAAATGGCTTATTTGTGTGGTTGAGATGCAAGGCGCGTCTTTTCTCTTTGCCCCCATCTCAACTGCCGCACGCCGTGCCGCCGAGCGCCCGCCAAACGAGGGATAGGCAGCCCGCACGACACCTGTGTCGCCGCGTTGCCTACCCACGGTTGTCCGGGCGCTAAGCACTTGCGTGAGCCACTCCAAAAGCCATGAAAAGAAAGACAAAGTACACATTTCCTTTGATAGAGCTATATATTTTTTACTTCAGAGATAGCCGGTCAGATACATCCAATGCTCCTCGACTCCTCACAGACTATAATCATATTTAAGTTATTTTCTCTCCTGTGGATGTGGATAAATCTAGCCAAAAGTGGCTCTTTTCATTCTTGATAAATTTCATAAAATAAGCAAAGTTCTAGTAAATTTCTGGTGTTGACATCCTGCTCAGCTCAATGAGGCTCTAACAGCTTAACGCGTGGTTCCAACGACCGCAAACGGATCAAAGGAACACAAAATGCAATGGTAAGACTTCGTGGTGAACCTGTTTTGGAAGAAAGGCAAGGATAGGTGTCTCACAGATTGGATGCACAGGGAAAACAATTGCAAACTAGTACAGAAGAAGCACATCTCAGACTGAAAGATGTAAGCTGTGGTTTTCTCCCCGCGAGAAAAATGAAGTATGCCACAATTATACACTTTATACTTTCTTCAAAGCAAAAAAGAGAACAAGTTTACATTCATTTCCCCGCCAAACAGCCTCTGGTTTCTTTTAATAGAAATAATGGCAGCTCTATAAATGATGGCAGTGGAACACGCTATTGAGCAGTGCCAGGCCCGCTGCACACAGCCCAACAATCTAACAATACTGACCTTAAACATAATGGTTTCAGAGAAGACATACAATTAAGTAGAATAATCACTTTAAATTATAATAATAATACTAATAATAATAATAACGTTAATAATAATAATAATAACTTTTTACATGTTCTGTGATTTGGTCTCTAGTTTCACATTAATGTGTCTCAAATATTTACACAATTCCCCGCCCCACTTGGGATATTTATTCATAACTTCAACATTGATGAGGCACCCCATTTATTTTCATACACTCTCGCCATTTCATTTTATAAATTATATCACTTCTGAGCAATGAGATGGTAAATCCTTTAACGAATTGTCTACTTACATTCTAATGATCCGCGGCTATCACAAATGAACACCATGAGAAAGACTTGCAACTTTTTCCACATTACGTTAAAGAAAACAAAAAGCTTGCCTATAGGAGTAATGGCCAAAACTAAGGAATAATACTCATTAACCTTCCGAGCGTCATCGTCTCGAACGCGATGTGGGTGTGGCTTATTACCTTATGACCTTATTACATCGTACTTTGTGCTTGATAGTGTCGCGTCGAGCGCGCTGCTGGAAGCCTGGAAGGATCCTGGAAGGGTCCTGGAAGGGTCCTGGAAGGGCCCACACTGCCAAAGAAAGAGTCTCAACGAACAGGACGAGTTGGCGGTGCCACCCTCCGCCCCACTGGCAGACATGTTCGGAGCAGTTCGGCCGAGTTCGGCGCAGTGCCGTCGAACCAGGTAGGACGCAAACAAGAGCACGCTTGTGCAGGCGGGTTGTCGTCGGCCAGGCCGTCCTGCGCCCACGGCCCACGCGCTGGTGGTAGAGACGAGAAAGGCGAGGCCCGCAGGCCTAGAGGCTGGACCTAGAGGCCGGAGGCGATGTGCGGCTTGGCCGTGGTCTGCGCGATCTCGGACAGGCGCACGTCGATGGGCATCCGGTCGTCGTACAGGGTGGGCGCCTGCAGGATGATGCCGGCCGTGCCCACCAGCACCGCCAGCGTGAAGATCCACAGGAACAGCCGGTCCAGCACCATTGCCACGTACTTCCAGTCTTCTTTCACCTGTCCAACAAGCAAGGTGTTTTAGTAGTTTGCAACGACCGAGACGGAAAGGGAGAAAAGGGCGACTCATACCCTGGTGGAGTCCTCCTCCCGCTTGGTGTGGTCCGCTATGAAGCACACGCCGTCCATGGCCTTGTGCAGCTCTGGACAGTGGTGCCAGTGCCGGCTGGTGCCCCGCAGGTGGGGCATGTCCGGGGGCGGCCGGCTGGAGGGTCGCGGGGGCGGCGAGGCGTTGAGCGGCGAGGCGGGCATCAGGGGGTCGGGCACCCCGTCCAGCCCCGCCAGCCCCGCCAGCCCCGCCAGGTCGCCGAGCAGCAGCGGCGGCGGCGGGGTGCCGTGGATGCGACACGTGCTGCCGGCCAGCGTGCCCGACGCGCCCAGCTCTCTGCAGGCACAAGAAGCCGGTTAGCCGAGCCGAACGCCCTCGACGACCATTCACCAAAAGCCGACAAAGGAGCCACCTGAACTCGTCGTCGTGGCCGTAGCCCTGCGAGTAGCCCTGCGGGTACGAGTCGACGAGGTCGGAGGCCGAGGTCTCCCTCTCGGCGCTGTGGGCGCTGTGGCCCGAGTCGCGCATCTCCAGGCCGTTGCACGTGCGCACCACGACGCGCTGGCCCAGGCCCGGGCCCAGGCCCGACGCGCTGGACGCCGAGGCGGGCAGCCCGCCCTCCCAGCGCCGCCGGTCCGGGTTGTAGTGCGGCCGCCGCATCACGAGCAGCCTGGGCAGCACGTGGATGAACACGCGCCGCACCCACGGCGCCATGGTGTGCGTCTGCGGCGACCGGAAGTGCACGTTGAGCACCACCACCGTCACGCAGATGCTGCAGGCAGAGCGAGCAGAGCCAAGCGGTCAGACACACCGTCCAGACAAACCATCAAACCTTGTCTTTAAAAATTAAGGTTTTCGCTGACCTGAACGTGTCCAGGATCATGGTGAAGAGCACGAACTTGCCCAGCAGCGGGACGACGAGCGAAGTGGGCGGAATGATCTCGGCGAGCAGCAGGAAGAACACAGTGAGCGACAGCAGGATGCTGATGGACAGGGACACCTGTTGGCAAGACAACAACATCAGCACAACAACAATGCAGGCCGCGCGGGAGTATTCGTCATTAATGGCGTGACACGGATTTGCATAATGGACGTCCACGGCGTGCCGCGGGCTCCCCCCCCCCGCAAAAAGCTGAAAGCCGAAAGCCGGGCGCCGCGGGCATAACTCGTCACGTCAGCGGCATGCCGCCATGCCAAGCACTGCCGCGGTGGAGGCGCTTGGCGCTTGGCGCTCTCGGCTTTCGACCTTGTCCCCTGCCACGCCGCCCCGCCGCCACGCCGCCACGCCGCCAACGCGCCCAAAGAGCAAAGAGGCATGCATTGAGGGCCGCGCCGGACGCGCCGACGCGCTCGCACACCACGCTCCTCCATCGAGGGCCTCGCCCAGGGCCTCGCCGCGCCGAGCACCCCGTCGAGGGCCGTACCTGCCAAAGCGAGGCTCGGAGTTTTAACAACGAGAGCAAAAAAGCGAAACGGCAAAACAAAAACAAAACAAAATTTCCCTTTGTGTTGAACTTGTTCTTCGTTTTCGTTCCCCCGCCTCAATCTTTTCCAGGAAACCCTTCGCAGGCGTGGCACACGTTTGGTGCACGGCCTTCTCCCCGGCGGATCGGACTCCCCTCGGGAAAGCGGGGCGGAAACGCGAAAACGCGAAAACCGCTTCCCGTCCGCTGGCTCGGCTGGCCCGCTCTCTCTGGTTCTCACCTTCTCGCCGCTGTCCGAGGGCAGGTAGAAGACGAGCACCGTGAGGAAGGAGATGCCCATGCAGGGGATGATGAGGTTCACGGTGTAGAACAGCGTCTTCCGCCGCATGGTGATGTTGAACGTGATGTCCAGGTACGGCTCGTCGCAGCACGTGTAGAACTTCTCGTTCCTGGGCGGAGAGAGGAGCAAGGCGGTCAGACAGATTGCATTGGCGGGCTGGGGCGTCGGGACAGTCTGAGACTCACCTGACCGCGGGCACCTCCAGGATGTCCCACTCCACGGACGTGTAGAACTCGCTGAGGTCCACGCCGATGTCCACCACGCTGGTGCCTCGGACCTCGTCGATGTGGCGCAGGTCCACCTGGCGGGCCAAGCCGTGTTACACCAGTCGACAGGGAGGTCCAATATGGACGCACAGTGGGCAAGAAGACCCGCGCAGCCGACGAAAACTCTAGACGCGTTTTGAGCTCCAGCATGGCTCCAGAGTCGCTGAACAGGACTCGAACCAAACATTTGACCCCACCAATGGCTTCCTCGTGGGGTCACACGTTCGGTACGAGTCCTATTTCGCGACTCTGGAGCTCAAAACGCGTCCAGAATTTTGGCCGCCTCGGCCCACGGTGGGGCGACATGCTCTCAAACTCAACATTGACATCGTCGACATACCTGGAAGCCGTCGTAGGTCCAGGACCCGAACTTCATGACGCAGGTCTGCTCGTCGAAGGGGAAGTACTCGACGTCGATCTCACACGACGACTTGTAGATGGCGGGCGGCTTCCACTCGACCCGCCCCGTGTAGTTGAGCGTGGCCTTGGTGGCCAGCGTCACCTCGAAGTTGCCGTCGGCGCTGCGGACACATCATGCGTGGCTGAGACAGCGAGACAGACAGGACACAGGGAGGGATCGGCGCAACAGTTGACGCCCCTGTCCACCCGAGACGCGGCACGGCGGCGCGGCGGCACGGCAACGCGGGCCTGCACTGCTACACCACGCGGTGCCGCAGCCCGGCGCTGCCCGGCGCAGCCCGGAGTAGCCCCTAAATGGATGGGATGGATGGCCCATATTTCACAACAGAACACTCTGCTCGTGCACTTGTTGGGGCTCCCCTCGGGGCTCCCCTTGGTGCTGCCCCCGAGGCCTACAGCCCCTCGGGGGCCTCCCCCCCTCCCCTCCACTTTCCGTCTTAACGCGCCGCCGTCGTGGCGTCGTTCCACCTCTGGCCGAGGGCGATTCATTTCCGGGCCCCAAAATGTATCAACACCTTTATATATTTCATGAAAGTGCTGCAAGCGGGACGCCATTTCTCGCGCCGGCAGAGAGAGTGCTTTCCTTTGGTCTGGCTTATTACATGAAAACATAAAGCGGCACTGCAAGTAACCGGCATGCAGACGCACTTACTTGTTGTAGAGGACGATGTCCGGCCGCCAGATGTGGTCGGAAGGCACGTGCAGCATCTCCACGCCGCCGTACTCCCTCGGGTCCCACTTGAGCTTGTAGTCGTCCCAGGACTGGAACAGACAAAACAGCCGTCACGCAGTGGGCCAGAAGACCGGTGGAGGCGGCCAAAACCCTAGACGCGTTTTGAGCTTCAGAGACGCTAAATGGGACTCGAACCGAACGTGTGACCCCACCAATGGATACCGCGTTCGGAGAGCAATCGTATTGGTGGGCACACGTTCGGTTCGAGTCCCATTTAGCGACTCTGCAGCTCAAAACGCGTCCGGGATTTTGACCGCCTCCACCTGTCCTGTCCAGCGGTTTGTCTATGGTCGGTACGACGGGCGCTAGTCGTCGCTCCCTCCACGGACCAAGTCATCTCCGCATGTTGAGCCAGACTCCGCGGGTAATTTACATCGTGTGGCGCATGTGCTTCTCCAGGGTGAAAAACCGAGGCACAGGCGCCAACAACAGTTTGGCCACAAAAAATGACGGCTTTAGTGTACGGTTTACGACTGTGCGACGCGAGGCGCGAGGCGGTGTCCCGTGGCTGGGAGCTGGGAGCAAGCAGACTGTCTTTTTGCCGCAGCCAGAGACTGGAGTCGGACGAGGTGTAGTCGCGTGGCGCGCCTCGCGCAGCGCGGCAGCGTGGCAGCGCCGCGTGCCCCGATTCTGTTACATGCACGGGGACGCACGGTGAGGGGCCCCGCTGGGGGTAAGGCGGGGCGGGGATTTCATCACGAAAAGGAAAGTAGAGAGATGGAGAAGGGAATACGATTTTCCGTCGACTTTGGTTCCCGATACCGACGGCGCCCCGTGTATCCGGCCGGGGCGGGGCGGGCGGGGCGGGGCGGGGTGGGGCGGGTCATTACGGGCAGGACATCAAGGCGGCAAAAGGAGCGGTATAGTCGAGGGGCCGAGGCAGGCAGGCCGAGGCAGGCAGGCCGAGGTGCGAGACGGTGGCGAACGGCCCGGCCGACGGCACACCGCGCACCAGCCGCGCACGCCAAAGCGTTGCCCGCGCCGCAATCACCCGCCACCCGCCTCGCCTCGTCACACCACCGCACACCGCATGCCGCTTTCGAGACTGTTCCCACTTGTTTTGCTCGTTTCTGCTCGTGTTTTGCAACGCTATTTTTATTTACTTTTGCTCGCCTTATTTTTCCGCGCACAGCAATGCTAAGCCGCAAACGCTCCGACCACACGCTCACAGACAAGTACGTGCTCTCTCTCTCTCTCTCTCTCTCTCTCTCTCTCTCTCTCTCTCTCTCTCTCTCTCTCTCTCTCTCTCTCTCTCTCTCTCTCTCTCTCTATCTCATACACACACATTACACACAGTCGCATACTGACCGTCGGATTTGACAACTAATTAATATTCATATTTCCCGCGGCCAGTGCGGCCAATACGGTGTATCAGCGGATCAGAACGCCGGGAGCGCAGCGGGCAGTGGGGCAGACAGGCGGACAGATAGGCGGATAGACAGCCAGAGGGGGTGCATTGGGGAGCCGAGGGTCGTGTTCGGTGCCTCCCGGGGATGCACACTGCAGACCGAATCCGAGAGCAGTTTTCGTCGCTCTATCTCTCTCGCATTCATTGGGCGCCCAGTGTAGGCGCAAGAGAGACAGAGCGGCGAAAACGACTCTCGGAGTCAGTCTGCTGGGGTGCGACAAGGACAGCGGCGGCCAAAGTGCTCTGATCGATGCGAGATGAGTAAACAGGAAGAAACAACAACGACCACACACACACACAGCAAAATAAACAAAGATATGAGAGTCTTTTGATCCCCGAATGACGCGCGGCTTTTATTTTGAATGCTTCCCGGAACGAGGAGGAAATTAAAACAAGGCGGCGAGACGGAGCGAAAGAGCGAAAGAACGAACGGAAGGAAGAGTCAGCGTTCCGATGAGCGAGCAGAAGGCCGTGGCTCGATTCCTGGTGCGGCGGCATCGACAGCGATCCTGCAGCGATCCAGGAGGGAGAGGGAGAGAGAGTCGCGGCATTGCCAGAAGCAGCGGATAATTAATGAGGCTGTGTCTCGGCAGCGAAGGCGGGCACGGCGGCACCGCGGAGGACACGGCACGGCACGGCACGGCACGGCGCGGCACGGCACGGCCAGGCGGGGCGCGGAGCGGCGCAAGGCAGCCAGCAGGCGGGAGGAGCGGCCGCGGTTAATTTCCGCCATCGACCACCTGCTTCCCTGCTTCCTTGCCTCCTTTTCCAAGCGCTCACTAAATTCAGCCGGCGGTTTCCAAATTGTCATCTTTTGGTGTCATTTTCTTCCAAAAAATAAATAAACGAGAAGTAACTGGAGTGGCTCGACTCACCTGCTCGACCCACAAGTTGGTGGTCATGATTTGGTTCTTGAGGTTCTGCAACAGAAGAAACAACGGCTGTCATCAGTATGCTGCTGTGTTGGCGGCGCATCGGCGGCGAAAGGACGTGGCCGCTGCGGATGACGCCACTGACGTTGCCGCTGGATAAAAAAAGGCGCGTCAGACAAACGTTTTGACATGGGAATGACAAAACGACATCCGCTCCGCGCCAAACGGCCAAACCCGGAACGGGGTCAAGCCGATTAGGGCGGCCGCGCCGGCCGCATCGCGATGGTCATGGTGATGGTGATGGTGGCGGTGATGGTGGCGGTGATGGTGGCGGTGGTGACGGCGCCGCAGTTTAATTGACTGGTAATTGGCGGGGACAGTGGGCAACATGGTGGCGGCCTGCTGGTCTGCATGCTGGCCTGCCTGCAGGTGCGTGCCGTGCGCCACGCGCCACGCCTCCACGTCGCACGGCAGCCTACGACACGCTACGAATCGGGGCGGGGACCCACTGTCGGATCGCGCGCGCATCGCCAGCGGAAAAAATAATAAAAAAGGGAGGGGAGGGGCAGGAGATTTCCAAGAAAAGCCAGCAGCTCATCCTTGGGGACCTATGCTTGGATTTGGATCAACCGGGGCTGGGCCTGATCGTGTTCCTGGGACGCACACTGCAGGCTGGGGCGGCCGAGGGTGGGACAAGGACAGCAATACTCCCAGAGGGAAAGAGAGAAAAAAGGGGGCATTGTCGGACTGCACCCTCGCGGCATGCGCGATGTGTGAGCCGATTCGCTTCCATTCCAACTCCCACAAACAGGACCGAAAACACAAAGTCTTCCCCTTTTGTTCCGCTCCATCAGCGTAAGCACACATGGACACACTCTCGCGGCCTCGCTCTCACACCAACACACGCGCGAGCACCGCCGCTCCGAGGGAGCTTGATTCTCCACCCATGTGAATGGATGGGATGACCTCGGGAACATTTCAATATGCTGGCTACAGTCCTTGTTACGACCCTCCTTGGGGCCACCACCGCGCTACCGCCACTGCGGGCTCGCACCGCTGGTGGGGCTGGCGGGGCTGGTGGGGCTGACGGGGCTGGCGGGCAGGCATGCTGCTCATTGCATTTTGATGAAGAGCGTTAATGCTACGCTCGCGGGGCGCATTATTCAACCAAACAGGTGGCTCGCCTGCACCGCCATGATCACGGCGGTGATGATGAGGTGGAGGAGGAGGCGGTGGCGACGACAAGGCCCTCAGGGTCCTGAAGGTCGCAAAGGAGAAGAGAGTGCAAAGTTGGAGAAAGGCGGAAGGGGGTGGGGGTGTTTGAGGGCGTGTGTGCCGAGGCGGCCGAGGCCAGTGAAAGGAAGGGAAAGGGAAACACTTGAATCGCGCTCCGCCCCGCCCCGCCGTGTGTTTTGAACGCCGCGGGGGCGGAAGGACGGGGGGAACTCGGCGGAGGCAGTCCTGATTGGGTTAGAGACTTGGGTCCGGGACGACAGGCGACAGCTCGCCGCTTGAAACTGCAGTGGTGGCTGAGGGCCTTCTCGACGTGGCGGCCGCACCCGCCGCACCCCGTGTCTAACCACTCGAGAACTCCCGCGGCAGCCCTCCGCGCCCCCATGCGGCCCAGCCTCCTGGCCGCCGTGCCAGCCACAGGTAAATCCTCCCATCGCGTCGACCCGGCCGGCCCTCGCCGACCCGTTTATTAGACGCCCCACCCCGCCGCGCCCCACCCCGCCCCACCCCACCACACCCCGCCTCGCGCTGCGACCGTCGTCGTCTCCGGCCAATATGGGCGCACACAGCGCACTGAGAAAGTTGTAATTACCCGGTCGAGTCGAGTAGTGAAACCCGAAAGCGGAAATCCGGAATGCAAGCGCCCACTTAATGAGGCGCCGTCGTCGCCGGCCTCGCCGCGCCCCTCACTCCAAACTTCCAGCGCCGCGTTTTTGCGTTTCCGATTTCCGCCTTGAACTCGCAACGAGGCGAGCGGGGAGGGGAGGGGGAGGGGGGGGGGGCGAGCGCAGTGACTGTCTGCGGCGAGAGCGTCGCGTCTGGTCGCGTCAGCGCGTCAGCCTGCGGTCCGCGGGGTAGGCAGCCACGGCGGCCACGCGGCAGGCGTGTCGAGCGGGCCGGCCTACCGACGACTCCACAGGCGTTCGCTTGGCGGCTTGGCGGCTTGGCGGCTTCGCTCGGCGCTCGCACTTGTCGCTCCGCTCGGCTCGCACACGCCCCCACGGCCACACTGCGATTTAATCACGCAACTTGGAGAGCGCGCTGCTGCTGCCCCGCCCCGCCCCGCCCCGCCAAGCCGCCATCGCTTCCATCCGCCATCGCGAGCACAGGCAGTCTGCCTTATCCACCGCCAGCCAGCAAGCCAGCCAGCCTCGCGGCACTTTGTCGTTATTCCACGTCGTTTCCGCGTGCCGCAAACTTTTCGGCCGCGCGTGCCCTGCCGCGTACGTGTGTGTGTGTGAGTGTGAGAGCGTGCGTGCGGGGGTGTTGATGATTCCCCCGTGTACGCCGTCTTGGCCCGGCCCGGCCCGGCAGGGTGGTCTGACAAACGACTCTCCTTGTATCAGTGACAGCCTTTCTCTTCCTCCGCGGCGTGGCGGGGCGGGGTGGGGCGGGGCGGGCGGTGAGCGCGGCCTTGGCTGGCGCCTTAAGCTGCAGTGGCGGCGGGGCGCGGCGGGGCGCGGTGGCGGTGACGTCGCGTCGCGGCTACCTGCAGAGGCTGCGCTGGTGGCGCTTTCATCACAAGGGTGGTGTGGAATGGTCCAATTGATAGGCGGGAACAAAGCCAACCATGTAATTGAACAAAAAACCCTTTTCCCCCTTTAATTTTCCGGAACACGTCAACCTTTGTGTGTCGCACCGGATGTGATTTACAGCCCCGTCGACACATTAATCCCGGCAGCGTCGTGTCTCCCTCACGCCCACACGAGGCGCCCCGTGAGCGAAAGAGAGAGAGAGAAAGCCTCCCTCTGGCGATCAGCTTCAGCCTGCCGGCCGCGGCCACCGTCGCTACGCTCCATCTATCCGGACGCGCATCAGCCGGTCCCTCTCTCTCTCTCTCTGACACACTCTCTTCTCTCTCTCTCCGTGACGGAAATCTTATCGATGCCTCTCTCTCCCGGCTGGCCACCCCGGCGGGTGATTCTTCCTTCCGCGCACTATGGCACGGCCGGTATAACGGCCTCCTCCTCCTCCTCCTCCTCCTCCTCCTCGGCCACGAGCTGGCCGTCGGAGCTTCGCTGTCAATTATTCTATCCGAGATATATCGGCGGTCCGCGTGTCGATCTGGCGCCGCGGCGCCGCGGGTATCGGCCAGTATCGGCAGGCGGGCCACGTAGGGCCTTGCGCGGTGCAGCCAGCGCGCCGACACTTAACCTATCGCGGCGATCATAGCCAGGCGGGCCGTGCCAGCCCCAACCCCAACCCGCGGCCGCGGCGTGCGCGACATTGTCGCCGCGTCACCTATCACGGCCCATCAACTTCACGGCCTGCGCGGCCTGCACGCCGTCACCGCGCGGTAACGGCCTCCGCCGGGAATGCATCGTGTCGTGATTACTCATCCCGGCGTGCCCGGCGTGCCCGGCCGGGCGGCGCGTGCATTGTGGGCCGCGGCCTCGGCCTCTTTGATCTCACACTGCCATCCGCCACGGCCGCGGCCTCGCCAGGCCTCGCCAGGCCTCGCCAGGCCTCGCCTCGCAGTGGCGTCACCGCGTCACGCGCCGCGCCGCCGCTGCCTTTGTAAGCAATGACTAAGTGCGCCAGCTGGCTGCCGGCGTGGCGCGGCGTCGCGTTGCGTCGCGTCGTGTCGTGTGGCTGTGTGCGCAGCGGATGATCAAAGCCACGCTGTGCCCGTGGCCTCGTCCGGGGCGGGGCCTCGGCCGGGCTGGGCCTCACCTCTCGCGTGCCGCTGCTGCTTATAAGCCAGCAGATGTCACCGCGCCGAGACTTTCGGCGGGCCCCAGCACGCCGCGCGCCGCACTGCTCACTTCTTACTTGCGCCGCGGGCATTTGCAAAGAGAGAGCGAGAGGGAAAGGGAAGGGAGGGAACTCTTCAAAGTCGAACAGCACGTCGCTCCCTGGAGACGGTGGCGCGGCGTGGAGGCGACGAAGGCCCCGCCGCACCACGGCCACCACGGTACCCGTGTACGTGCGGCGGCCCGGCGGGTCGCTCTGCTCCAGTTTGCCTGCGACCGCCAGCAACGCCTTCCGGACGCGAGGACGGCGTCGGGGAACTTGTCCGTCGGCGTGGACGGTGGCGAGTCATCTCCCGCGCCACTCCACGCTCGCGCGCCGACTGACCGATTTTTCCAGCACGCTTGAGGGACTCATTTCATTCCGAGAGCAACGCGGAAGGGAAGGAAGGTAGAGACAGTGACGGCCGCCGTCGACAATTTCCCCCGACAATGCTCCGCTGCAAATAAAAAGGACAACCAGAAAAAAACAACAAGAATCGTCTTTCTCATCAGAAGAGCTGGCGAACACCGTCCCGCGGCCCGGTGCCTCCATCTAGAGGATGCTGCGAGGAAAGCTGGAGAAAAGGGAAGGGGGAGGGCTTGGTCCTAGTTCGAGGCGTGTCTCCTCCGCCCAATGTACGACTCTGGCCGCGGCGTGTGTGTGTGTGTGTGTGTGTGTGCAGTGGCAGCGAGTGGTGGCGGGCCAAACAGCAATAACAGTATCCGCGAAGGCCACGCCAACAGAAGGTTAATGCGGTAATCATAGACTGCTGGCGGAATGCGGAGCGGGGAGCGAGCGACAGCCGGAAGGGTCCAGTACCTCAGGACCTCCGTGTGCGAGAGAGTGGGGGGGAAGGTCCGTGCGGTGGCGCCGTCCTGCCTCGCGCCTTCTAATATATAAATCTCGTTATTTGTTTCCCATCAAAAGTTTTCACTCGGAGCGCGCGGCGGCGGCGCCTGGCGGCGTGCGTTTGGCGCGGCAGGATCATCTTTCAAGCGGAAGACAGTATTTCCCGCGGGGGAGAGTGGGAGAGAGAAAGAGAGAGAGAGTGTTTCCGCGGAGGAACCGCGACGCCACCCTCG